GAATGTCAGAGTACATGTATCTCAAGTACATACTAAATGTCTTGACCATATTAATATGGACACTGATATGCAACATTAAATTCAAACGTTTTTTCAAGGTTTCTGGCAATATATTTGCAAAAAATGAAGAAGATCTACAAGTATATCGGACAATAATGGACACAAGTAAAACTTCTCAATTCAAAGAGATCACATACATGTACATACTTGTACGATACATGTACACACAAAAAAAGGGGAATACAATGTGATTCTTGACACATTTTCAGGAACTCGCGAAACGATTCCTTGAGATTCAATGAGCTCTAAATGTTCATTATATTAAAGTGATCTCAGCCCTATAATTGTAAAATTTCACCCCTTCTTTGAAACTGGCAAAATCTGGGAATGTTAATATAAAGGAAGACAATTTAAAGAAAAATATATATCACATTTTATATGACAAGATCAGTTTGCAAAGAGCAATATACATGTATATCTGACAGCTTTGAAATAGGGCCATAATTAAAACTGAAAGATAAACCGAACTAAAAACAATTCCCAGTAAGTTGTCCAAAAAAATAGTTATCAATGATATCATCTTCATCTTAAGGATAAATGATTGAGGGCATTTTGAAAAAGGAAAAATAGCACTCCGTGTAATTTTATCTGACAGCTTTGAATTGGGAACATAACTTATATATGACACCCTCCCCTTTTCCACAAATCTACTTAAAATATATAGATAATTGAAGACAATTTTTCCACTTTAGGATAATATATCGCAGGAATTTTGAGAAGACAGAAATGGAGGTCACAAAGGTGACAATATTGAAGATTGCTTTCAGCTATGATCATATATTATGACCTTCTCCATTTCCACAAAAGTGACAACAAAGGCAAAATTGAAATAACATCACACCTGCATTTTCTGAGAAGTTTTTGACAATGTTCTTATATCATTTAGAAATAGGCTTTTGGGTTAACAATATGTCATAAACAAATGTACTACAGTGTTTGTACCTGTATAACCACCTTCATAGCAACACCCCCCCCTTGAAACGAAGCCACTCAAGCAACTCATACATGTCTATGATTAAATTAAACCTTGTATGAAAAAAACATACAAGTATACAACAACAAAAAGGGACATCACACAAATTACACAATTGATGTAAGTTAAAAAGTGTAATTTCACTTTTGTGCGTTTCATTTCATGTTTGTTGATGTTCTGGTTTTCTTATTACATCTCAGGAGGACACATAAACACAGGATGACTGAAAATTGTGCAGCAACACTTCACAACAAGAAAAGGGGAAAATAAGCAACGTACATGTACATGTAGATTTCTGTGTATTAAAGTGAACAGTACATGTAATGTACATGCAGCATAGCAATTTGAAAGCTCTGAAATATGTTCCACAACTGGCTGCTCCTGGGAAGAGAAAGGTCAAATTGGAGGTCAAACTCAGAAGACATTGACCTCCGGAGACTGGGGGCTCTTGCATTCCTTGGCCGACCTCAATAGAAAGGAACCCAAGGCACATCCATCGCGACCAAGCCAATAACACACATGATCTTCATTGGATCCACGGCTGGAGAATCTGAACTCTGAGTGGGTCTACATGACATATGCGCAATGTCAAATGTTCCATACTCAGGAGTAAATCAAGCTAATTCATTTCATTTGGGCGAGACTTGCAAAGCTATCTTTCTTTGAAACACAAAGACAAAATATAATAAATCATAAAGCAATTAAGCAGCCAACAACAGAGTGTTATTCAGCCATTGTAATTGGGCCCTGTTTACGAGTAAACCTTATTTATTTGAAGATTCACTCTACATAGAAGAATGACATTGATATATTTTATAGATGATCTCCTTTTAATAAGGGCGTATACACAAAAACAGAAAGTAATTCAGCAACAACAACGACGTCAAAAGAGCCCTGAAACCCTACAATGGAGGAATCTGTTGTGCATTAAACTAGAATAAATTGCTCTGAAGGAAATCTTGCCTTTTCAATACATAATCTCACAAAGAGCTCCAGCGAACGAAAAAGGATTTCTTTACTGCTCTCAATACTAACCGCTAAACATTTTATGAACACATGAACTGTTTACATGAATATGTTCTGTGACCCGGACATAAATGCACATGACATATTAACCGGCCTGTCTCATGATGAAATACAAAAGATGGAATGTTTCACAATATTGGACAGTTTTGCAAAACCGATACAGAATCACAGATAAAATGACACATAATCAACTTTAGTTGCATACAGTGTGGAAATTATCTCGTAGCTCTTTCTTTATTTGTTACGTACATGTATCTACTTTGAGAGTTATTTGAAATAATTTTAGGAATTCAATTCTTTCTTGTTTGTTTCATCGTTACCAAAGCTCCTTTTATTTTTCCTCATAACTTTTGGAGATTTCCGGGGCTAAATTACTCACAATTCCTTTGTATTTTCCCACTGGTTACAACCTGCAAATCATCACTTACAAACAAGAAAAATGAGCATCCTTTTGTCCAATTACATGTACACGATCCATACAGTTGAAGACACTATGATAAATCCGATCATTTAAACAAAAAATGACACAATCAAACATAGGCCCTGGCAGCATTTATTTTTTAATTTAATATTAGAAACTTCACATGAAGAGGAACAAACATTCGCACCAGGGGTAAAATTATTTCACACCAGTTACCCCATGAGATTCCGTCCCGTCCCCTCTGTTATGCTATGATGAATATATCAAGATTCCTTCCTTGTGAAACTTTGACAACGACGAGAACAAAAGTGAGGTTCACACTGTAACAATCTCGTTAATTTAAGGTTTAGGGCAGGCCATGGTTTTAAACTTCTAAGTTATCTCGCAGTTAGGGATTGTGTGGATGCACTCATGGTTGTGAATATGAAACTTCAAGTTTACTGTCTTAGTTATAAACCATGAGTGATCATTACATAAGCATAATACCGGTAAGTTGATGAATATTAATAACTGTAGTACGAGCAGCGGGGATCAACACTCGAAGTTACTGTATGTGTTGTGTGGATGCAATTAACTATGAGGATAACAGTTAATAGTAGTTTAAAGCTTGTACTTTAATAAAAATGACTACTAGTACTACTACATGTAGTACATGTACCAGGCTTGTAGTTTAAAACTTTGCAAACTCGTTTTTTTCAATTCTACATGTATGTTGACCCTCATCATGGTTGGTGGATCGTTGTTCATTTCTTTGAGGATCTGATTCCCCCAAAAAGTATACAACTACGACAGTACTGTATGACAGTGTGTAGGCCTATCAGGCACAGAACGGAAGAGTTTTCTTGGAAGTAAAATATATCCCCAGTATGTCTTGAGTCAATAATAAAGGTGAAAAGGCAATTCTTTACAATACATGTACATGAATATTTTCACAATTTGTCATTTTGGGTTAGATAACCCCACAAGATAAACAGAGGTAATTTAGCAGTCTGACCAGAAAACACACTGAAGACAGGATACAAGCAAATCTTCAAAACTAAATCTTACATATCAAAATTAGGAATTTTCTCAAACATTGGGTACATGTACTTTCAGCTGGTTTGGAGTAATTTCATTTGATCACATTTCATCTTTTCATTTCCTCATTAAAAAACCAACATTGTTTAAACAGCATTGGTATTATCGTTATATCACCAACCTCCATAAATTTGTTTTATTCATTCCACAAATAATTTCTGAATTACTGTACCAAGGCCAACAATGCCATTGGAGGTGAAGGTTCTAATTAACTTCCCTTTAATTTATTTGTTCTTTGAAATAATATCATTTTAACCCTGATGCTTACACAGCTTTCAATATTCAACCTTCAGATAGAGCAAAAAAATAGCCTAGTTAGGTTGGCGAGTTTCCGGGTTCTGCTGATATGACCATCAATATTTCCCTTGAACTGTGTATTTTTCTAAGCGAGCGACACTAAGAGCCAATGCTTTTGTTTCTTCCATCATCCCGACACCCCCCTTCTGCAAATACATTTTAGTTGATACGTTTTTACAAGATTTTACAGATGAAATTAATAGATGTCTTTTTAGTTGATAATTTGTTTAAATGAAATACATGTACATGTACATGTTGTAGATTTTAATTCAAGTTGATGTCGGTAGATTTTTTGGCACAGCACTTTGCAGTCTTTCCACAATATCCCACATGTATTCTTTTCTTGACAGAAATATTAACCTAAATTGAAAGGAAGCTTGGTAGACACTTCTCCACTTTAAGAAAAATCTCTTTACAATTTGTAGTGACTTTATCAATTGATGCCATTACCAAATGCTTCAGTTGGCATTCCGTCACACGTTACGTCACACGTTACATCAACAAAATTAACTGCTTTCTAAACTACCGAACTAAACTACATGTAGGCCTACATCGACTTTACTCATTTCTTTAGCCATAAAAGGAAACAACAATGATACAAAATCATAATTATATATTCACTGGCACATATTCAGTCTGTGTTTTCTTTCGTAGACAAAGTTTAAAATGTAACATGATCAAACTTTCACAAACACCATTTCTCAGTCTCACATTGAAAGTCAAAATTAACTTTGCCCCTCTACTACAGATTGACTGAAGTAACTTAGGGAAGTTAAGACAAGTAAGACTGACCGGTCATGTTATCAATTATTTAAGGTGGACTCTCATATTGACATGCCATGGTCATTTTCTTAACCCACAGAAAGGAAGTGACCACAACAACACACAACCACATAGAGGTCTACATACACAGGCCAGTACCGTCCCGTAACACAGGCTTGAACACCGCTCTGTGTCCCCGTACCTTTCACACGTACCGTACACGACAATACAATAGTACATGTAAATAATACAGCGCACTCTTATTTTTGAAACACATTTTTCGATTGCATTTTCGGATAGAAACAATACAGAACAGCATAAATAAACGATAACAAACGAATATAATAGTTGTTAATTATATATATATTGATAAATTATACGTACCTAGACACCAAAATCATTAAAAATCCTATATATTCGGGCCCATGTCAGTGAGTTCTCCTGCATCAAAGGTCGGGTTGATCTTGGAAAATAAAGTGTATTCTCAGAATATAGACCATTATGGTCGAATTCATTCAAAATAGGGGTGTGTTTCGAATGACTTTGTATCATAATCCTAGATTTGGATATGTAGTCAGAAATATCAATCAATTAAATACCAATATATTTTATTAACGTAAAATTCTCTTTTTGCTTCACAGCTTGAAATATCGAAACACCTCTAAAACAGATAGCATAAATTATTTTACCCTTTTTATATAATGAATCATTCCATGACGTCACGCACTAAGTGATTGCTCTCGCTCTCATGTCAAGGCGACTACACTACATTGCATTCAATGAGAGGCATTGCAGTGCTAAGCATATGAACCACGACGAGCGATTTCAAGTTGAAGTCCAAGTTGATTTAGTTCACTTACTCACTACTCATTCGGTAGTCATTTTTAATCGCCCATAATACATCTGACTGCTTGAAATTCGCGTATTACATTTGAAATCTTATCAAATTCGTAACCAAGTGACTCTCAAGTCTAGATCAGATTAAGAAAACGATTATGATATAAAATTTAAAAAAATATATTTTATGATCCCTCAATTTGTTATACCACGGCCCACGTGCGCAGCATTGCCCGGCATTATGTTCATCATTGATTGACTTGTTTTTTTTCTTCATGTGACAATTGATTTTCTTCTGTTTCTTCCCATCAAAGACCACGACTCGATGGTTGTCACGTCACCAAGTCATTACTTAATCGCTGTTGTGATAGCATAGAAGGAGATTATTATTCTGTTGAAAATTCTGCCTTCAATTGCTGCCTAAGAACCTTTAGTGTTTCTTCAGTTGTAAGATATTCTATTTTTACTGTATTTTTATAACATATAGCTTTGTAACATTTATATATATTTCTTCCATGCCCCAGGTTGGACCGTTTAAGAAATAGAACAAACATCGAACATCAAACATGTCGAGAAGGAGTCCTCGTTGGACAACATTTAATATCATCAGTTTTCGATCTTTATTTTTAAAATCTTTCTTTCTTTCTTTCTTTCTTCTATCTTTCTCATCCTTAGGCCTATATATTTAATAAAAACGTAATACAAATTATAACATCTCCTTTTATTTTTTTCATTTCGATACGGTGTTTCAAAATAACAGGCATTCAGCCGCAAAGCTGTTTCTTCAGCAAGTCTGAATACAATACAAAATAAAACAACATTATAAAAATAAAATAACATCAGATTCAGTAACAATTTTAAAATATTCACAAAGAAATATACAATTAAAACATAAATGGAAGTTATAGGCCTATACAATTGTTAAAAACTTTGTTTCCACTTATTCTATAATAACAATAATTAAACTCTCTAAATTAGGGTGGAAAATCACTTTTTCGAGGGGGGGGGGGGTGCCTTGTCATCACTATTTCGTTTTGAATGGAAATCCACGTTGAAAGAAAGCAATACATTCTCTAAAAAGCCAGAGGGCTTATGCCGCTAAAGAGTAATTCTACCAGCCTACTTCGGAGTGAATTTTATAATAATTTTGGATAGGATTTATCTCCAGACGAAGAGGCCCCCTTTATGATTCCTTTATTAAACAGTACATTTTCCTGTAAAAATGAATAAGCCTGTGAAATTTGGATATGATATGTAGGCATATACATTCATATGATCTGAAAGCAATTTCCAGATTTTGTCATTCATTAATACTTCGCGAAGGTGTACGATGAAAAACGTTTTCCTATAAATCACCTTGGTTCTAGTTTTGAGAAAATCATATTCTGATTGGGAACCATTATAAGATCATTTAGAAGTGAGGTGCGATGTCATTGATGATATTGCATATTTCATGTCATTAAGAATTATAACTTTCTTATTAGTTGTACGATTTTCCTCAAACTTTTGTTCTATTCTGTTTGTCTAATTTTCTCCTTTTACTGAAAGCATATCATTATGGGACCGTACTTGACCTTTTAAGAGAGGGCACTTGCTAATATCAAGTGCGGTAGCGCAGAGTGGTGTCGATGTGAAGGTGAAAGGAAATCCTGAGAACTTTGGCATGAAACTATGCTGTCTTGCCATAAGGGTTTGTTCCCGTGTATGGTGTATCCAAAGATATATTGTATCCAATCATTCGTAGTAGGTCCATGATCCAAGTATTCGGCGGATCCGGTGTACGCTCCCATCCAGCTTGAAGGTCCCGAAAACGACAATGATAATTATCAAACAAAGTTCAGACAAGCGCCACAATCATAATAGGCCTGCACCCCGACACTTCTGGATAGGTATTGTGTATTCTGCCTGCCCCTCCCCATCCCCCATGTTTAACTGCATGGATATTGGAATCTTTAAGCCCGTATAGACCCAATAAAGACGGACTAGACAGGAGAGGGCATGGGCTGGAACGTGTTCTTTTAAGATTTAAATACACATAAATGGGTGCATTTTAGTTTTTTTAAAGGAATTTTAGGACATTGATCCCGATATAGGATTGCCTAAGTTATAAAGTAAATGAAAATAATCGGTGAATGTTTGCTCCAAAGAGAGAGATAGGGAGAGACTAGAGAGAGAGAGTGTGTGTGTGTGTGTGTGCGTGTGTGTGTGTGTGTTTGTTAGAGTGTGAGATAGAGAGAGAGAGAGAGAGAGAGAGAGAGCGGTAGAGAGGTGGATCTTAAGATTGTTTATGTGACAATAATAGTTAGCTTTATGAAATTATATTCGGCAACGGTTAATCTGTGATATTTTGTGAGGAAATGTTCATGAATCCTAAATGCCAACAATATAGTACGATCGGAACACTTGGTTTTGTTTAGACACAACTGTTGTTATTGCTGTTTGAAGTTGGCACCTCGACAAAATTATGTACTGCGTATTTTTTTAGTTGCTGAAAGGAAGGAGTCAGAAGTCACAGTTGGTCAAGGGAGTAAGTAACGGATATCGTTTCAAATCCTCGAGATAAGAGTGACACGTACTCTTATCTCTTTATAAATTCTTGCTTTGTATTTTAAGAATCAATTATGATTGCAACAATGTGATATGGGCCTACTCGTCAGGTACTTGTTAAACGGTTAAGAGCCCCCCCCCCCCCCCTCCTCCTCCCTCCCGCCTCCCGTATTTAGAGTGATGTCCCCTAGTTTCCTGGAAACGATTTAGATGCGCTTCATTCCCGTTTTCACAATTTATTTATGGTTCTGCGTGACTATTCTGTCCGAGGTCGTTCGATGACAATACATCCATCTTGCATTGACGAAAGGAGATTGAGTCATCGCACAAGTCAAAGGCCTACGAGAGGTCGCTGACCGGGTGACACAAAAGATTGGGACGCTTTGGGTTGGACCATGGTATAAGTCTCCCGCCAGTCGCTCGCGTATCCGCATAGCAATGAAGCGAAACGAGGGCCAACTGGCCGTGTATTTGTGAAAGGTTTGTGTTTATTGGTTCAATGAGCAGATTTTGTCTTCTTTGTCCTTCCTTGATGATAATATTGATATTACTGAAGTGAAACTCACGTACGTGTCTCAATTCCACTTTTCCAGTCAGTATCCTCTTTAAATGTTGTGGAATCAAGCCGCAGCTGCGCTTGTATGAATAGGCTTATAAACTGAAGGCTATACAAATCACAATCATTAAATCGTGAATTATCCCTATATTATTGCTCTGTATGAAATGTCAAAATGTCTTCCTCTGCCTAAGATATGTATTGCATGTGATAAATACATTTAGAGACAGCACATTTGAGGCCTATTTTACTAATATCTTGTATTATTCTGTATCCCACCTTTTCCTCACCCCGTTGATTTTGTAATTGGCCAAATAACGAAGCGCAAGCAAGCTACATATTTAACGAAAGAGGGCGCTTATCTAAAATTACGAAAGGGTCATCCCGTGAAAAGTCATTTGTTTTGCAAGTACCGGTATACTTGTTTGGTCAAACTTTTAGCAGAAATTGAATCTCATCATTTTACAGAAAATAATTTGACTTTCTCTTCAGACAGTTTCCGAAAAGGGTGAGAGTAAAATAGTTTTATGCCATATGAACTCAAATGTAAATCCAAACTTGATAGCAAACTGCTATAGAGAAAATAAGAAATATCAAAGAAGTAGACTGGTGAAAGTTTGAATGAAATCAGAGAAAAAATGACAAAGTTGTGATTTTTTAAAAGTTGTAATCGCCACAGGTATGGACTCTTCAAATTGGCTGAATCGGAAATGTCTCTGTGATGTAGTGACAGACAACGTCCCCATTTGTTCCAACACACAGAATGACTAAAATTTCAATTTTTCAAAAATGTATTGCTTTGGAACGTCTTTTCTCTTTAGAGGAACTATTACGCTATCCATAATTCGTCTGTAGTAGTGCCCCAAGGGAAAAGCACATAGGAGAAAAATATAAATTAATGTGATATTTTTGATCATCCACTGACCAAACTACCAACTTGACATTTGTAGAGACTTAGTGATCTCATATTTCAAATATTTATAACTTTATTGTTCTTTAAGTTTACTCATGGATGAAATAACAAACTCGGGAGAATATGCTTTATCCCCCTCTAAATATTGTAGAATTCAATGGTTTATATGTAGGGGAAAATAGTTCTATAATATCAATACACGTCAATACACAATAAATTTTAGGTCTACAATTCCGACTTATCAATATGAAGTAGAAGAATCAGCCTATTGGACAAATAATCCATTTATAATCCTTGTCCTGTAACCCCCTTAGCCCTCAACTTTTTCCACGACACACCCTAAAAAAGACCTCATCGCTTATCATGGGTACCAAAATCCATCTTTATTTTATTCACTTTCTTTCTCAGTCAATCATAACCTAACCCAATCATAACTTATCCTCCTTGGCAACTTCAGTGGAAAGCACTTATTATTATTATTATTACCGGTACCCATTTCTTTTATGCATACAACTTACTTCCAAGTCTGTATAATTCTGATCACGAAATCCACTTCTTCATCTCCCTCTCTTCCTTTTCTTCCCTTGTCTCTTTCTTTTTGTATCTTTCTCTCTCTTT